TGGATAATATCACATCACTGCTACCCTCCTCCCTGCCTTCCTCTTCCTCGGTGGAATGCTCCTCAGCAAGTGCATTCTGCTGCTCGCTCTGGAGCTCAGCAAGGTCTTATGTCATCCAGCTCCTCCTTCTGGTCCTCAACAAGCTCCTCTATGTCTGCACCAGTGACATCCAGACCCACACTCTTGCCCAGGGACACAACCTCCTCCAGTACCTCTGCATCAGCCCCTTCAAAGCCACGTTCAGTGACGCATTCAGTGACGCATTCTGGCCACAGTTTCCTCTAGGCTGAGTTTAAGGTCTGGTACATGACACCTTCCCAGGCTTTGTCAATGAGGTTGATGCAGTGGAGGTCATTGAAATATTTCTTTCAGAGTCAAGGACGTCTCTTCAGTGACATTACACCTGGTGAAGAGCGCCTTTGTATACGGCCTTTTAAAGATGCAGATCACTTGCTGGTCCATGGGCTGCAGAAGAGGTGTCGTGTTGGGCAGGGGGGGGGGACTTGACCTTTATGAAGTCATACTCAGCGTCCATATCGTCCACCAAGGCTGGAGGGTGTGCCAGGGCATTGTCCATCAGAAGAAGGCAACTTTCAGGCAGTTGGTTGTCAGAAAGATATTCCTTAACGATGGGTGCGAACAGCTGGTGCAGCCATTCCATGAACAACTGCCTTGTGACCCAAGATTTTGCATTGGCCCTCCACATGACAGGCAGTCTGGCCTTGCTCGCATTCTGCTCCTTGAATGCATGAGGGGTTTGGGAATGGCACACCAGTAGTGGCTTAATCTTCAGATCAACGCTTGCGTTCGCACACAGCAAAAGGGTCACTCTGTCCTTCATGGGCTTGTGCCCCGGCAGTGTCTTTTCCTCCTGCATGATGTAGGTTCTGTTCAGCATCTTCTTCCAGAAGAGTCCTGTTTCATCGCAGCTGAACACTTGTTGAGCGACGTATCCTTCTGCCTTCATGAATTCTGCTAATTTTTTCTTGAAGGCTTCTGCAGCAGCCTTGTCAGAACTGGAAGCCTCACCATGTCTCCCCAGCTGCCTCTTGAATGCCTCCAGAGTGGGAGAACCCACAACCTCCCTAGATCATTGGTTCCATTGCTACACTGCTCCAACAGTCGGGACATTTTTCTTGTTTTTCATTCAGAATCTGGTTTGCTGTAACCGGAGCCCGTTGTTTTGTGTCCTGCACTGCGGCATGGCTAAGAAGAGATCATAGTCCTCCTCTGGGTAACAGCCTTTCAAATATTTGAAAAGTGCTATCACATCTTCTCAGTCTTCTCCAGACTTAAAATGCTCACTTCTTCAATCTCCCCCCATAAGGTTTTGTTTCCAGACTCCTAGATCATTCTTTTCACTCTTCTCTGAACCCCCTCCAGCTTGTCTAAATCCTTCTTGAAGTCCAGTGCCCTAAACTAGACACAAAACCCAAGATGGGGCCTAGCTAGTGCTGAATACAGGGGAACCAGTACCGCAAATGAGTTGAAAGCTATACTTCTATGAATTCAGCCCAAAATAGATTTGCTTTTTTTGCAGCCACATCATATTGTTGGCAGCCACATCGTCTCACTGTTGCTTCCAGTAAACAAGTTCTGTAGGGCTGTGCATTGTTTTAAAACCGGTAAATTTTTTTTGATCATGACAGAAATGTAGTGAGACAAATGAGTAGGTACACATGATGGAAAACAATGCCTCTACTGAACATCTTCCTTTTTCATAGGCTGTAACCCTAAACACATGATCTGGGTGTAAGACCAAGCCTTACAGTTGAGCAGACATAAGTGGGATTCTGGTGCTCAACACCTGTTTGTCTCACTCCCTGCATCCCTTTGCTAGCACTTGTACGACACTTAAAACTCCACATATGGAAAATAGGTAGCTTTCTGGGCTTCATTCTAGGCCACTGAAACAAAACTCCTACTTCCTACACTTAAGAGCCAGTCTCTCTTGTCATTCCCATGCTCACACACACAAAACAACACAGGATCCCAGCCTTAACAGCACTCCTACATGACAAATGTATATGCTCACATGTTGAGGAACCATAAATATGGGACTCATAAATCTGTTTTTACTGCTCCTGCTTCTCAACGAGACAGTGATCCTAAAGTGTTGCTTTTTCCTTGTGGCCTCAGGTCATCCGTACAGCCCTCCTCCCACAGTAAACCAATTTGATAAATATGCCCACTTTCCTGTCTCTTTTTACTCAGTGCCTTTTGAAATCCCTTCTGGATCTGTTTCTATGTATACCATGGCTACAACAACATTTCTGTGTCTTACTAGATTGTTAGAAGGATAAATGCATTCATTTTAGGTTATAATACATGGGAGCCATGGCAGCAATAAAGGAACTAGAAAAGATAATCAAGTGTAAGGATATTTCACTGGAAACCAAGATCATTCATACTCTTGTATTCCCAATCACTATGTTTTGGTGTAAAAGCTGGGCAGAGAAGAAAGCTGGCAGAAGAAAAACGATGCATTCAAAACATGGTGCTGGATGACAGCTTTGTGCATATCCTGGACGGATGGAAAGCCAAACAAGTGGGTCCCAGACCCAGTCAGGTCAGAGCTTTCCTTGGATGCAGAAATGATGGAAACTGAAGCTGTTGTCCTTTGGGCACATCACAAGAAGGCAACTCTCACCGGAGAAGACAATCATGCTAGGGAAAGGTCAAAGGTGGAAGAAAAAGAGGAAGACCAACTATGAAATGGAACTAGTCCATAAAGAAAGCCGCTCCAGAGCTGAGCAGGGCTGCCAAGAACAAGACATTTTGGGGAGCATTCACTTACTCATCGTAAGTTAGAGCCAGCTTAGCAACACATTACAGCAAATGGTAGGCATGCTTTGAATTTTAAAGGGGAAAATAGAAAAAACGATTAACAGAACCATCTATTTTAGAAGGGTTTTTGATAAAGATGCTTCTCTTTTTAAATGAGCCACAAAACTGCTCTGGAGAGGAGGAAGAGGTAGGTGTGTGAAGGCACATGAGCCAGTCCACTCAGTGCCTGAGCACAGATGGTGTCTGCCGCAAACTAGTAGAATGAGTTCCTCCTGAGCTCAGCCTCAGACTAGGCACCTGCAACAACACCATTACACAGCTTCTGCATGTGTATATTCTTCATTCAGCTTCAGAGTTGTTTTACGAGGCTGTGCAGGGTCAGTGGCCGAGGCAGAGGGTCCACAGTAGCTTTCCTTCTCTTGGCAGGGAAGCTAACAGCTGCCTGTTAGCTCCCTTTCCTGGAACTGCACAGATCTCCTCTGCTGGCTCCGGGGCACTCTCTGCTTCCTATAAGGAACTCTTTCTGGCTGAGTCAAAATTTCCCTGTTCCCAGTTTACAACAAGGAGAAGTGGGAGCAGAGAGTTCATGCCAAGTTCAAACTTTCCAGCCTGGCTATCTGCAGAGACTCCTCAGCAGCAAAACACAGAAACAGAGCAAGTCAGAAGGGATCTCCCGGGCCATCTAGTCTGACCCCCAGCTCCAGCCGGCTCTGCTCACGACACGCCCACCATGTGCATGTCCAGCCTATCCTTGAACACCCGCACCGATGGGGCCTCAACGACCTCTCATGGAAGCCCATTCCACACCCTCGGGGTCCTAACTGTCAGGAAGTGCTTCCTGGCATCCAAATGGAACCTTGGCTCCCTGAGCTTTGCTCCATTGGAGCACGTCCTGCCTTCCTCTGCAGGGAAGAACAGGTCTCTACCCATCTCTGTGTGACATCCCCTCACATACCTGCATGTCGCCAACATATCCCCTCTGAGTCTCCTCTTCTCCAGGCTGAAGAGACCAGTTCCCTCAGTCTCACCTCATACCCCGTCCCCTGCAAACCAGCCACCAACCTTGTGGCCTACGCTACACTGACTCTAACCTGGCTATATCCTTCCTGTAACGAGGGGCCCAAAGCTGAACAGAATACTCCAGTTGCAGGCACACCAGAGTCATATAGAGTGGTAGTAATACCGCTCTCAATCTAGAAGCCACACTTCTGGCTATGCAACCAAGGGTGGTGTTCGCCCTCTTGACCACCACATCACACTGCTGACTCATGTTCAGCCTGCAGTCAACCGGCACCCCGAGGTCCCTTTCACAAGTGCTGCTCTCCAGCCACTTGTCACCTAACCTGTACTTATGACACCTATTCCTATGCCCCAAGTGCAAGACCTTGCACTTATCTACATTGAACGCCATCCTG